AAAGTGAGGGTGAGAGGGAGCAAAGTTCACAGGAGGTTGATGCACAAGAGGAAAGTGAAGCAAGAGATAGTGAGAGTGATAACAAAGAAGAAGGAGAGGAGGAAAGAGTAGCCACAAAGAGGAGACGAGATGTTGTTGAGAGTGGATCAGAGAGATCTGGTGAAAAGCATTATGAGTCTGAAGATGAAGAGGTTGATCAGACTAGAAGTCCAAGGTAGGTACCCCTTTTTTCCTATTTGTTGTGTGGCTTCTTGTGCAACTTTGTATTGTGCTTTGGTAATACTTGCTACTAGTCATCTGAGATTCCTTTCTATTTGCTTATGGTTCACTTTGTCTGTCGTAAATGGAAAAATGGCATGGCGGTAGATCACCTAGTGAAGAGAAGGAAGAGGCTCAAGTTGCACAGTCAGACGTAAATATACGTAATGTATTTGGATCTTCGGATGATGAAGAGGCAGAAGAATATGTTCGGAATGACATTGACCAGGATGCACATGTGAGCATTGCGTCTCATATTACATTTCAGTTTACAGCATGGCTGTTTCCTTTCCATTTTCTGCTTCCTTTTAGAAACCATATGACTTTGCATGTATTTGTGCTGAAATGTCTAATTTTTCAGAGATCGCTAATCGAAGATGAAGAGGGCTCTGAGAAGGATCTGAGAGATGATATGGTCCCTGATGATATGGTCCCTGAAGAGGAACCTCGATATGAGTCAGAAGATGAGCATGTTGAAGCTAGGTACAGGGAGAAGCCAGTTGGCCCCCCTTTGGAAGTGGAGGTTCCTTTCCGCCCTCCTCCAGGTGATCCCGTAAAGGTATATGTGATTTCTGTTGCTAAAATATTCTCCGCTGACATGGCTTAAAATCAATAGTTTGTTATCTATTGAATTTTTCCTTTCTAATACTTCCAAGCTATCAAAACGTCTCATATTATTGTGGTTCCGAAGAGTGAGTATCTGGTCTTTTGTGTGGAGAACCATTACTTTGAAACATGCTTCTGCATTTACTTAGCACGAAAGGTCATTTGTCATTTTTTCTAGTTACCTTTCTGTAGTCAAAATGTTCTGTAGCCAAAATGCATTTCCCCCCCATTATCTTTCTTCTCTTTGATCTTTTTCAGATGAACATGATCAAAGTTTCCAATATCATGGGCATTGATCCAAAGCCATTTGATGCCAAAACATTTGTTGAAGAAGACACATTTGTGACAGATGAACCTGGAGCAAAGAAGCGTATTCGTTTGGAAAACAATATTGTTCGCCATAGGTTTGTTAAGGGTCGAGATGGCAAAACATATGTAAGTAACACTTTCAACCTTTTCCACTTTTTAACTTTCCATTGAAGCTGCGATGAAGCTATGTATCTTGCCTTTTGGTTTTCTTGGGTCGGTTTCATATTGCGCTTATTTTTTTTCTACTTTTTCCTTTACCTTTGCTGCAGTCTACTAATGTAACGTTATGTTCATATGCAGAGTGAAAGTAATGCTCGGTTTGTAAGGTGGTCAGATGGAAGTTTACAGCTTTTGATAGGAAACGAAGTACTTGATATAACTGAACAAGATGCACAGCAAGACCAGAATCACCTTTTTATCAAACATGAAAAGGTATTACTTCTTCTTTCCATCTCTCTAAGTTACCGGATCTATTTGTAGTTGGTTCATCCTAGGACTTGAAAGCATCCTGTGTATCAACTTCCAACAGATTAAACTTCAGAGTACCCATATGATTCTCTTTACTATATGTCAACGCTTCTTGTGGGATATAACTCAAGAGTCTTGCCTTCTCTGGATGTTGTCGCAGGGGATTCTTCAATCACAAGGAAGAATTTTGAAAAAAATGAGATTCATCCCATCATCTCTAACATCGAATTCACATAGGCTTTTGACCGCCCTTGTTGACTCGAGGCACAAGAAGCGCTACAAAGTTAAGAACTGCGTCACTGACATTGACCCTGAGAGGGAGAAGGAGAAGAGAGAAAAGGTAACCTCTTAGTTGAGCTCTGAAAATCCAATTGTAGTTTCATTGTAGAGTTTGTAGACTTTTCTCATTTGATATCTTAAATTCTCTAGGCGGAAAGCCAAAACCTCAAGGCTGGTACAAAACTGAGTCAGGCGAGGGAGAAAATTAAGCGCAAGTATCCACTTCCTGTTCAAAGGAGACAACTTTCCACGGGGTACTTGGAAGATGCTCTTGAAGAGGTCTGTTTTATAATTTGTGTACTACTACTTACTTTGTGTTCTTTCCAATTTCTGAAGCGAAGATTCTACCACTAACAACCTTAATCATTTCGTGGAACCAGGATGAAGAGACAGACCACTATGGTTCTCACCGCTCAAACCGTGGCTATGAAGAGGATCTCGAAGCTGAAGCGCTCCGGGAGCGCCGTATTATGAACGCCAAGAAGGTAAACAAAACCATTTCATCTCTCTCCGAATGCAAAAAGAAAAAAATAAAATAGAAATTAAACAATTATTTAACCGCTTCTCCCTACCAGAGCCACAAAAGCTTTCCGGGGAGGTCTTCAATGACTTCAGCGAGACCATCAAGGCGTCAAGTCGAGTATTCCGAGAGTGAGAGAGAGGAATCAGAATATGAGACGGAAGATGAGGAGGAGGAAAAGTCACCACGACCCCGTAAAAGAGTCAAGGAGCC